CGATTCGCCAACTGCTCAACTACCTTTTCTGCCTTCGTGTATTCTTTTCTGCCTTTTTTTTCTTGTTTCCTCGACAACAAAAGCATCGACAATGCTTTATCTTTCACCTATCGATTAGCCATGAAACCGAAAACCCAAACCTTTAATTTGGGTTGTAGATCCTAATCAGCCCCTACATGTGTTGAGTTATCCCAAAACAATCCCTCTATTTGTTAACTTATATATAAACAGCCCTAAAGTATTAAGTTATATCAAATCAACCCTCTTATTTGAGAAACCCGACCAAAACAGTCCCTCCCATTGTGTGATTTATTTAAACGACCCTTTCTATTTAAACCGTTATAAAAACAGCCTCCATTTGTATAGATTGATATAAAATAGTCCCTTTGGTTAATTAAATTACAAATCAACTCCGGTTCCCTTTTATTTTAATCAAAATAGCCCCGATGGCTTGTTTTAAATTCAAGAAGGTGTAAGTTGCGGTTTCTCACGACAAGCTTCACGAAACGAAACAAATTCAAACCAAATACGAAATCACGTTTCGAGGTGAGTCTTTATGGCCCCATTTTATAATTTTAACGACTTTTTTTGGGGCGGGGGGGGGGGGGATACATACATGTTTAGTTTTTATGAAAGTTTGATGCTATTTTATGTTCATTTCATGCTATGGTTATATGATTAGGTTTTTGAAACGTGGTTTGGATCATTTTGGGTTATTTATATATTTTAAACATACAAATTTATGGAAGATTGTAACGTTTGTATTATTCAATATATGTTCTGAACTGTGATCCAATGTTTACGTCGCAACCCCGACGTTTCCACCGTCCGTCGGGGTGTGACATTGACTAACAGCTAGCAACAACTTACAATTTTGTAATGGATTTTCCAATTTTTTGAGGATTTTAAAAAAACTAAAAGGAACTATATATGAAGATGGGTATGGTTAGGTGAATGGGTATATATATATATATATATATATATATATATATATATATATATATATATATATAGTGAAGTTAAAAAAATTAGCAACAACTCCCTTCGCAACCGTCACAATCCCCAATGGTTGAATTTCCCATTAGTGAACCAAGCTTGCTCCTTGCTTCTTTGCACCAAAGTGAACTCCCTCGTTCTTCAATCTTCACCAAATTCTAAAGAACAAGACAAAAATCAATCAAATAAGCTCTCAATCATGCATGGATGCTAGGGTTTAGTGTTAAAGGGTTGTAAGCTGAAGAGGATGCCCTAATCCAGGAGTTTAAGCCTTTAAATATGGAAGAAACCCTAAATTTCATGGGCTTGAGCTGCAACATTCACCACGTCATGGTTGACCAATGAAACACGATTTTTATTAACCATGCGCCACGTCATGGCCAATACTCCACCACATCATGGTGCACATTGGTCAACAACCTCAAAACCTAACTTAAGCCCAATGTCTCTTAAAGCCCAAAGTCTTAATACCAAGCCCAAGAACCTTATCCCTTAAGGTCCAACTCGATCCTTTGAGACCTGAGACCTTTACCAGGTCAAAAACCAACCGAGTCTCTAGTTAAGGTCATCTCGAAATAGAGTGTGACACACTAGAGTACCATTTGCTCCTATTTATATTCACTCTAACGCCTTGTTCTCTAGATTTTATTTTAAGGGAAATGAAGGGGAGAGAATGGAAAGAAATTGAAGAAAATAACAAGTACTAATTTGTGTTATTGAGTTATAGTGGAATGGAAGGGTAGGAAAGAGAATTTGACAATTATACCCCTATAATAGTGATGGAGAAAGACATGGTGAAAGGCAATTTGGTCTATTTATGTTTCATTTCTTCTTCCCTCCTAACCAACCCATTTTTTGGCGGATGAAAATATAGCCATTTATCCTTCACTCCTATTCCATTTCATCCCTTCCATCCCTAAACAAACTTAAAAACACATTTTCACTACTGATTCTCGTCCCTTCCATCCACTTCACTCTTTAAATAAACTCAAGAACATGATGTAAGATTTTGTTTAAATAAGGGGGTGCTTGGGAGTGCTTTTTAAAATGACTTATTAATTTATTGGTTTTTAAAAAGGTCATATTTGGTAAACACTAACTTTTTCAACAAAAAAACAGACAAAAAAAATGTCATTTTTCAAAAAGCCAAGAATTCATGGCTTTTCCAAAAAGCCAATAAGTTGTTTCAAGAACACTCCCAAACACACCCTAAATATCTAATAGCTAAGGCTAATAAGATTAAAAAATAAAAAATAAAAGAGTTGTAGTTTTTCTTGTAAACCTAATAACTTATATCTACCCTAATAAATAGTTTTTTTTTGACACATGTCACATCCTCATTCATTATGCCACATGTTATATATTAACTAGGCATAACCTCGCGTTGCGCAATAATGCATTTAAGTGGTTAAAATAATTATGGGAAAAAAAATAGAAATATGTTGAAATTTACGTTTTTAGTCATGTTTTGGGCATTAACCGAATTATCAAATATCATGAAAATCCATCAACTTATATTTTGATACTATCTAATATAGTCCATACCTTATAAACTTTACTTTTACTTTTATAATATCCAATATATATTATAAGTTTTTGTATAACATTAATATAATCTACTTTTCTTATGTCCAATAATACTTTTTGGATAAAATAAGAAATAAGTTGTTTTGAACGAGCTATTAATAAATAATATTGAACTAATAAACTTTGTATTACAGTAATTACACCAAAACATCTAAGGTTTCATATATGAACATTCAAATATTAAACATTGAAATTAAGAATGAAGTCATACAAAATATATCATT